TAAAAATAAAAAAAAAAATGTATGGACAATTGTCTAGGCAGGGGGAGGGAATCAAGAATCCTAAAAAAAAACTAAAAGAAAACTTAACGATATGCAACCAAGTGATTGTGACGACTGGATTTGGGGAGAACGTTTATTCCATGAAATCACTGATAAAATTATAATTTTTTATTAGTACATTTTTCAAATCATTTTTTACGGAAAACTTGTAAAATATTTACTCTAGAAGATTTTCCCGTAAAATGTAGTCTACATCAAAATAATGAATTTCTGATAGGTCACCCAAGCATGGGAAAAATCGTTTCATTTTGCATTTATAACTACTCACTACTTCAGAAACGAGCAGTAGCCAATGCGGTTTTGTTCGTATTCTCATTGCTTCTATTTTCTTCGATAAATGCAGAATGGAGCAAAACAGACAGCTGAGTGTAACATGAATTATTTTAAGTGCAATAGTGTAGATGATTCCTCACTTTTTTTTTAATGCTGAGCCTTTAACGGTTGCATTCTGCTGAGTGGGCTGAGTGAGAATTTTGCAGAAATATTCACATTTTATTTTCTAGCTTTAAACATAAATTCATACTTTTCAATTGGTATTGACATGAAGAAAAGTATTATCCTATAACACATAAACGTAAGAGTCACTCAAATATTGTAAGACTGCTGTGGCCAATTCACCTGATTTAAATCACTGAGCCAACAAATATCTCACTTCGCTATTTAAATCGTTAGCTATCAGTTTATACGCATTCAATCAGGGTTCTCCCTCGGTAGAGAAAATTGTTAGGCTGCTGTTCAGTGTTATCCTTCATTCCTTCTTCTGCTGTCAGTTCCGAGTCTACCTGCAGAATCACTTGGTTGGAAGAATTAACACTCGTTCGGCAATCTGTTTGTAGGTGAGGATGGCTATTTTGTTTCTGTGGTGCTCTAGTGAGTTAATGAATTGTATCAAGCTTGATCGTTGCCGCTCGTATCCTTGCCCCAAAAATGACAAAGATTGATGAAGGTTTAGAGGTAGTGCATTTTGATAAGAAATTAGAATGGACTTAATTTTAAAAATCACGAATATCGCTCTTACTTTGCTTTTCTAATAAAATTGTTATGGTTATTTTACTTAATGGGTATTAGACTGATGCAAAATTTGAAAATTTCGCTCCACAGTGCTCAAACGGTTTCAAATCAGGTCCTGATTAGCCTACCAAAATTTAAACTCATTTGGTAAGAAACTGAAACTGAGTTATTCCCATATAAACTTGAAATGGTTTGTGCCAAGTCAGTTTCTTACTAAAGTAGTAATTTCAAATTTTGCATCAGTCTAATGGGAATCACCCAGACAACCAGAGGTCGTATAACAATGTACAGACAGTATTGTAAATAACTACAGTTTTAGTCAACATCGCATATAACAATGACATACATCGCATTATGTTTAACATAAATCGTTTAGAATGCAAATTTCTGACTTAGATGCGATGAATCATTTCCCATCGTTCTATATCACAAATCAAATCGGATTACATTGTAAGACTATTAAAATTTAATTTTTTTATTACAGATTAAATCGTATATTATGTCAAATCAACTCGTTTAAAAATAAATTAAAATTTTCACGTATATTACCTCCACTTTTGTTGGTATAAGCCCTTTTTCTGCATTCTATATGATTTGTTTGTTTGTATATATGTTTGTATATCACAGAAACAACTTTGAATATACGTGCATTCTGGTTGTCTGGGCATCCAAACCATTTGTGGAATAGTTCTATTATTTGGGTTATCGTTCGTTTCGGTAATTTTTTATTAAGGTCTACTAGTCCAAACGCAGAAAACGTTTAAAATATTGTTGCTATGGCAATGACCAAATGTCTTTTGTTGTTACGATCAGTTTTACAGCATATCTAGAAAGATAGAAATGTGAAACAATGAGGGAATAGGGTAAATTGACAGATGTGCAAGACAGTCTCATCAGAACAACAACAGGCTTGTTGATCATTGTCACAACAACCAAGTACTATTTTTTCAACGCTGGGACAACTACAACTAAAATAAGAGCAATGCAAGTGAATATCAATAATTTCCGATACTAATTCACCGAAACCTTTACACAAACATTTGCGCGACCTTTAAACCTTCATCAATCTCTACCATTTTTGCGCAGGCTCATAGGGTTTTAATCGAACTGGAGAATGGAAAATCATAAATCCAACACTTTTTTTTCAAAATGAAGCACCCTAGCCATTAGAACTGAGAAGGTGTGGACTAAATATCCGTACACCCGAAAAATGATTTGAAATCCGTACACCCCATACTCCGTTGGAAGAACGATTGGTTTACTGAAGAGCATGAAGTAGAAGGCCATAGTGCTGGCAATAATGCTAGGGATTGTTAGAATGTGGAACGCTTCAAATTAAACCGAAAACAGCAATCAGGTATTTTTCGGCTTCATACTAAAAACTCCATAATTGACACTGCGAATCGCCATATGAAGAGATATAAATGGAATCGTTTTAGACAAACATGTCAAAATAATAATCAGTATGTTGAAATCACACTCTAAATCAGTGGTTTTCAGTACCACCATGGTGCAGGTGGTAACGAAACTTTTCTACGAAAAATGTCACCATGAAAAGTTATGAAGGAAAAATATCGTAACATTTTTTTTACATATCAAATCCATGGCAATTAATGTTTAATGTTGATGCAATGTTGTATTCAGCCCGATTCTGCGATATTCGATGAAATTTTCTGGGAATTTGAACAGACTAGTGTCCTATAATTTTACAACATTTTACACATTGTCATTGATATATTTCTAAGGTTTGGGTGGTTATGTAACATTGGATATCTTTCACTCAACTAGCTATTCCTCTTAGTGATGTAAATATATTTATACCAACTAATCGCATGAACATTATTTTATATAAATACACCGAAAATTAAACAGTTTTTAAATTATTTAGTATCAACCACATTTTCCAGAACGTTTGATTTTTTTTTATTGTTGTCTTAAGATTAGATAAAGATGAACGATCCCTAAAGTTGTAATATTCTGAAATGCTTAAAGAACTATATTTTCATAAGCTTCAGTGAGTCAAATATAAAAATATTGTGAACCAATTCATGTGAAATTTTGTAGTCATTTTCATGAGTGATTTAAGGGCAACTTTTGGTGTATAAATTACTAAATAACTTTTTACAAAATACTTTTTCTGGCAGGCTCTTCCACGATTACACAATCGAAAATATCTTAGAAGATTTAAATAACGTGTAATTCTGAGGAATTCCTGAAAATTTTGCAACGAATGGTTTACAAATAACAGATATACAACATTTTTAATACAAATAATAATAACATTTAAGGTAGCTCTATTGTTCTGACTTCAACTGTATCTCTAGGCATGCATCTCACGACAGCAAATCAAAATTTTTCCTGCATCTTAGCTAAAGTCGTTTCTTTTGGACTTTGTCCTTGATAATATTGAGGAATCAGTCTTACAAGTACTGCTGCCATTCGTATCTAGTTGTTTGTGCGGATCTGGATGTTCTGCCTCTTTGAAAATCGAAACGAAAGAGTCTACTATACTAAATGTCGAAGATGACATGCGGTGTACTTTGTCAGACAGCTACAAAGATTAATTCACTAGCTGAAGGTGCTCAAACGTATGGTTTTTATTGACTTTTAATTTGTTTTCCTTGATTTGTTATCCGTGCTGAGCACCAATGCTACCGATGCCAGGGAGGCAGCTCACATACCTGGACCCTACCTATCAACCCATCAAATAATGAACCGGGGACCAACGGCTTTACTTCCCTTCCGAAGGAAGGCTTGGTCAGAGATGTTATGCTTCAGAACATCCCGGCGGCGCCGACTGGGATTGAACCCAGGCCTGCTGGAGTGAGATGACTTTTAACTTAAAAACGTATCAGAGATTTTCACATAGCGCATCGTAAATAAAGAATACTTTGAAAATGCAATTTAGTATTCAATAGACTCTAGTATTTTTACGACAGTGTATATAAATATGTATTGTAAAGCGTGATAGTCTAATTGGTCTTATATTTAAACATTTTCATCCGTATTCATCATATTAAAAATTTAGTTTAAGATGCAAAAAATTGTTTTAGAAAGAAATGCTAGAGTAAAAGACGTTCAATATAGTCTAAAATTATCGAAACCATAAAAAAAGCAATTGCTTAAAAACAAGAGTATTTTAATTGTATTTCAATAGTTACTATGCTGAAGAATACATATATATAAGCGAACGAAGAAGCTTCATTAAGTACTGACTATTTAATGGTAAATTTATAAACATGAGACTAACCGATAATTTGGAGGGTATTGAATAAAAAAAGGTTGAAAACCACTGCTCTAAATTAAGCAGATATAAGTTAAATAAGTTGAATTCAATGGTTTTTAGCGTATGCAGCTCCATTCTGCCGTATGCTTTAAGAGATTTGAATCGTGGTGTTGCGACGAAGTAACAATTGATGCCAAATAACTCGAATTTGAGCCATTATTCATCATGGGGAACATGATAAATAATGGTTCAAATTCGAGTTATTCGGCATCAATAGCTGCTGTTTGATGCACTGAATTTGAAAATGCAGAAAATGATAAATTACCATAGCGGTTTTTACGTCACTATGTCGTCAGAAATGTACGACTTGAACAAGCACCGATTAAGAATTTCTCCGTCGCTGACATCAATTGAGATGCACAGCTTAACAGCTTTTTTCACATTTCTCATGAGCTTTCCCAGGAAATGGCTTGTAATTTCATTACACAAGTGCACTCAAGGAACGTAATGTTTTAATGGAGCCCTATATTTTATCACCATTATCGTTGATGCAATCAAATAAATCGATGAAAATTAGTTCTACGCTACTATAAGAGCGACAAAATCGATCGACCTACATATACGCCCAATGGTGAAAAAGGCTTTTTTCCATCCATGCAAACAGCAGTAGTTTTATTTCCTCTAATAGCAATTGTTGACTCACCTGTCTGGAAAGGGAACTGGCGACATCGATGGTTGCCTGGGAGTCAGCTTCGATTTCTTGCAAAAAAGTTTCCCAAGCATGGAATAGGTTCGACTGGCAAGCAGGTCTGGAAAATAGATGTACATAAAACCTTAGTAGGGGAAGACGGGAAAATATGTGCATATTGTTGTGAAAGCCCACAATCCAATCCATTTTTCTGTGAATCATATTTATACGGGCAAAACTTTGATTGAATTTTCTCTGCTGTCCTCGGCTTTCACAGTAGATCTACAAATCAAACTTTTGCCAACAGTAGAAGCAGTTAATGTATGCAGGTACACAAAACCCTTCTGCTTTACCGAACAAGCTACTGACCTTTCTTTCCGTAGTTCACCGTTTCGTTTCCTATAGCCTGAAACCAGAGCTTGCAGTGCTTCGGCATGCTGCTCGTAAAGTTGTGCTAAGTTTTCTGTGAAGTCTGAAACTAGAAAAGTTTGAAAGAAGGGTTGTAAATTAAATCAAGAGATGAGTTTTCAAAATAACTTCTTAAAAACAATTTTAAACAAAAACAACATAAACGCTCTCTTGAGATAATTTAAGTCTTGATGATAACTTCTAGTCCAGTGTTCACTCGGCTGTCGACAAAAGCAGGCCACTCTCGATGTGTGCTACGCGATCGTCTGTTTTCTCGGCAGCAACCATTGTGTGGTCCTCCTCATTGTTCTTCATCAGCAGTTCTTTCGGTCGATGCGTCGTCGACTTTGGAAAGCAACCGTTTCGTGATGAGTGTGTGAGTGCTGACCACGTTTTGCGTCCATTGCTGCAATGGACGCGCTCTGACCCTCGTTGGCGTACAACAATTTGCCATACAATGAAACTACTGGAAGCGGCTCCAGTTCTGATGGAGGAGGCTTTTTGAATAGCGGAAGATAAAGTGTTTATTGTGTTGTACCTTTTGACTATAGTTTTAAGATGTATTGTATAGTGACCAAGAATCCTCGGCTCTGTAAAGTTAATTCGGTTGAGCCTTATCAAATAAATTAATTAAAAAAAAAAAAAGATAACTTCTAGTTGATCAAATTGTTTCAAATAATACTTATTGCTATTATTGCATTTTATTAGAGCTGGGACTCGGATTATCCGGATATTTTTAGTTTTCAATTTTATTAAATTTTGGAAATTAACAGATCTGCCATTCCACATCAGGTCACATGGGCACATACAAATAAACTTTTTGACAAATATTTAGAACAGTAAAAAGAAAACTGTTAGAGGGAGAGTAAATTTGAAATTCCACTATCCGTATATCGGGATAATTACTATCCGCCTGATAGCCATCTCAACGGTTTCTCAATTTATATTATTTCAATATTGGGGACTAGAAAGCATGATATTCTGTTTACTGAATATCAAATCAACGATATTTCATTTGTCTGAAAGTAATTTTATTGAAAAAAAAACTGAAGGGTCCGGATAGTTGAAGTCCCACCTCTAATTTGTACAGCCTTCATGGATGAAAACAGAGGGGTTCCTCTGTTTTCCATCAAGGGAAAAATTAACTGATATAGGGGACGACGGGGTAAGCTTATAGTAAAGTTTATCTAAAACTGTATAACATCTCCGCGATAAATCAAGTGAATATTGATCTTTAGAGTACTTTCCCATGGATGTTCAAGAAGTTTCCTTTCATTTGACGATGATGTATTACGAACCAAAAGAAGTCTAAACAATGCGAGAAAAAAATCATGTGGGGTAAGACGACCACATGAAATGTCACATAATCCTGGTCATATGTATAAAGGGAGCTACGATCAAAATTTGGTTGACTTAAACTTTACGTAGGGGAATTTACGTATTCTCGTCAATCTAAGCAGCGTCCGAAATACTATTAGCGATTTCTCAGCGTCACACACATACATGACAGGTTTGTTTGTTGACATTTAGCTGCTGCTTGCTGTTCTACCAATTCCAATCGACAGAATTGATCAAAACGGGTTGAACATGTTTTTACAACGCTCCAAACTTCTCAGGTGAGAGTGACTATTGTCGGCAGTCTCTTTTTCTTCGGCACCCTTTCCATTTGAACTGCGTGTTAACCAGCTGTTCTATTATCGGCAACTCGAAATCAGCCGTATTTTGTAGTATGTATATTTCATTTAAAGAAAAATATGGTATAACAGGAATTCACAGTCGTAAAAATGTAATCAGATTGATTATGAAAAGGTAAGGAATCGGCTTAATACATTCAGCGAAGAGTTTTGATGGGAAAATACAGTGAAATAAACGTTTCAATTTCGGTTGCCGAAAACAGTCAATGGGTGCCGAAGCCATAATTTACCCTACTTCTTTTAATCGAGCACCCCTTATTTTGTGAATGTGTGGGTGCAGAATGATGCCTTTATTTTGATATTGACATTTGCTCTTCAGTTATCAAAATGGCGTCCAAGCAAGAAGAGCAACGCATCCAAATTGTGCATGCGCATCGCGAAAATGCGAACTACTCTCACGCCGACTTAGCGAAATCGTTAAAAATGACCAAATTAACTGTCACCAACGTAATAAAAGTATTCGGGTAACGTTTGTCGACAGCCAGGAAGCCTGAGTTGGGGAAAAATCGAAATCGATATCGTAAAAACGACAAAAAGGGTGGCTAGTGGTTTCAAGCGGAACCCCAATCTCTCCATCCGATACGTTGCAAACAAGCTGGGAGTGTCGTCTACAACCGTACATCGAACTAAAAAACAAGCCGTCGACTTATAAGAAGGTCGCGACGATAAACAAAACACGATCCCGGAAGCTGTACACAACGATGCTGACGAAGTTCGATTGCATGGTAAAGGACGACGAAACCTACGTCGACTTCAAATAGCTTCCTGGGAAGGAGATTTATACGGCGACATTGGCAGACATTTTCAAGCATATGGAAATGTCGAAGTTCACTATGAAATATCTGGTTTGGCAGGCTACCTGTAACGGTGGCTTTAAAAGCGACTTTTTCATAACAACCGGGGCAGTCAACCAGGAAATTTACGTGAACAAAAGTCTGGAAAAACATCTGCTGCCTTTCCTGAAGCAACACGTTTGCTCCTGCCAATACGGAAAAAATGCCATGGAATGGTATGCCACCTACAAAGTGCAGAACAAGAACCTGCATAAGTCCAAAAACTGTTGGAAGCGAGAAGCAGTTTATGGCAAACTAGCGTTCTGCGGCGAACAAAGTGGACGAGGTGACTACTGAATTTGATGGCAGGAGTTAAACAAAAGGCCCGGCAATTCGGATTCGGAAGCTTAATATTTTTTTTTCTTCATTTTATACTAATTGAATTAAAAAAAGAAAAAAATAATTTGATTTTTGAAATAAAACATTTACTCAATTTACACGCATTCCACCAATTTTTGATCGTAACATCCTTTAGAATGTTACTATCTTCGGCAAAGTTTTACAGTGTATCCAGGCCGATAGGTTAGAGAACAGTAGTTCAGAATTTTCTCACAATTTGGCACTTATGTGCAACTCAATTTCCTGTATAAAATATACCTTGAGATCTTGACTATACAGGAAGTTTCCGTTTTCAGGAAAGTTGTTAAGCTCACCAAGGTATTTTAAATTGTGGGAAGGTTAGTTCAGAATTCTCTCATTACGCGGTCTTAGCGTGCATGTGGACTTCACGTTGATGTCCTGATCATCTAAGAAGATGTCCGATGCTTAAATTTCCCTTAAATAAAAAAAATAAGATCTAAAAAGTTGGTGTCTTCGGAAAATTTGGCAGATTAGGTCAGCATTTTCTCAATACACGGCACTTTTGTATGTTTATCATCAGGAACGCCTGACCAACTTTATAAAGGACGAAAACTTTCTAGATGGTCCAGGTTTTCGAGATATAGTTCACATTCATACTTGCAGCGTAGTGAGAATATTGTGCACTAATTTGTCTACCATCCAAAAAGCGTTGATCACTTGAACAAATTTGCCGAAAACAACAACTTCACTGATGGTCCAGATAACTAGATATAGCTTATAGGTACAGGATGTTCACATGTAAACATATTTTTATTATTATCCCTAAATTATAATTTCTATCCCATAGTGCATTACTGAATGCTTTTAGCATCTATATTGCAGCTCCTTTTCTTACTGCTGTGTAATGGAGGCTATAGACTTATTTTTTTTTTCTATTTTTTTTTCTAATTCATCATTACACAACCCTGCTGATCATTAAAACAAACTGATTAAATACATTATCAATGGAAGTACTATAGATCACATCATGTAGTTGTAAACCGTAAAAAGTAAATAGATCAGATGAAGAAGTAATACCACATAATCAATGTGTTGTACCGTAATCCGGAGCCTAAAAGATGAACAGGGTGGAATTATACGAAATTTTAAGAAATATTATTGAAATTCTTTTACCAATATTGCTCCACGAATAACTGATAACACTGCTATATTTACAATTTAAATGCGGCAGTATCGTAAATCATCTAGTATGTGTTGTTTCTTGTGTACCAGTACTGATTTCATATCGTAATAATCGTAGAAATATAATCAAACAAATATAAGATGAAGTGATGTGATTAAATTGCCCTATGATTACCGTCCTTAATTTATGGATACAAAGGAAAAAATAAAACAAACATTCCTGATATCAACTTTTTCTGGAGTTCATCGCAATTCGATTCCTTTCGGCTATCTGGGTTATCGATTAAGCGTTTCGGCAAAGATTCAGTCTGCTGACTGACGAAATGTAATCAATCTCAGCCTGGTTGTCTAGTTCTGATTGACCAATATATATTTATGTTATATATCTATCCATACCCTATTGTAGAAGCTCTTTTATTTCTTGAATTCAGCAGGAAGAGAAAATACACCATGCGTAACTGGTGAAACGAGAAGGCAAGCGATAAAACCACTCAACCTCACCTGAAGTATTTACATCGTTAAATTTTAATGAAGCGTAAATGTTCGAGGTGCTATATTCAAATAAGGTAGAAAAGTGAAGAAAATTCTAACCATCAGCAGCACGACCGTATACGAATGGATGCATATTCGTCAAACGTATACAGATTATATTGTTCTGTATACCTGTTTGGCACATCCGTTTCGAGAGTTTGTTTTTCCCGGGGGAAATTTGTAGGTACGTACGTGCTCCTTTGTGACAAAAATACTCCCCGATTTTCCTGCCTGTTAGTACTTGAAGGATGTACTTCAAATTGGCACCCTTATCTTGAGGGTTGACAGCCAACTCCAAAACGATGTCTCTGTTAACGTAATTGACTGCATATTTGAGGTCAGGTCACGATCTTGGATTGGGTTCATGGTTCAAGGGAAGGCAGATTGTTGCAGTTGAATGACTTGATTGGAGGTGATTATTGAGGAAAAATAATTTAGTTTGAATCGCAGTTTTAGCCTAATTCCATGAGACACTAATTCATATACAATCTTAATGTTTGTTAACAGGGGAGGAATGAAGTGACATCGCA